ATATATATATCCCCATTTGGTAGTTATACTGTAGAAAATGATGAGAGTTAGAAAAGATGTTTTTTAAGGTTCTTTCCAGTGCTAGATTCTCTCATACCGTCTCCCACACCCCCACCATCATCTCCTAGATATCTTTTGCTTCAATCATTTCATGACCTTCATCACCTGCTGATTAAAGTCTAAGCTCCACAGCATAGCACTCAGGGCCCTCTGCCCCTTCTCCACTTACATCCATACCCCAAAGCAATACCAAACCACTTATGGTTCTCTGCACATTCATGCTGTGCTCTATGCTTACGATATCCTCCCCTCTTCCTTTGCTTAGCTTTTACTTATTCTCCAATTCTCTGCTCCAGCACTGTAGCGGATGTTTGTCCCTCTTGTCTGCAACATAATTTCCTGATTGGTAAATTAATTCTCGCCCACTGTGCCTTGATGAAAGGGTTAACTGCAGTGGCCTGCCACCCACTACCATTCAGAAGGAAGCTGAGGGGGTCAAATCCTTCCCTTATCAGCCTCTAGTTCCAGCTAGGAGGCAGCATATAACAAAAGTCCAGCCTACTGGGGCTTCTCTCCAGGTGCTTTGAATTCAAAGACATGAGAATAAATAAAGGTGATTCACCTGGTGGTGCAGGGGCAGTGAGAAAGGTGTCCTGAACAGGCTGTTCTAGCAATGACATGGTTGCCATGTTTTTTTTTCTACTTATTAGCCCTCTGGGGAGCCCTTGGTACCTATGCATTTCCAGGTCAATAAATATTTATAATATGAATGAATGAAGCAGAAGCATATAGGTCAAAGACTTAATTTAAAGCAAATTATATACAAGGTTAGACCATTTAATTATTAGAACCAGAGGGAATTAATCATAAACAAGAGAATAGTCCCATCACAAACAGAAATGAGGAATTGTTAGTTTAGGGAGGACAGGGAAGAATGGTGAATAAAACAAATTTTTATTGTAATTCCTCCTCCATTTATATATACATCAACAATTCTCCTTTGGGGAAGATAACGGTCCTATTATTTTAGGTTGAATTAGCTTCCTGGTCCCTGTTTAGGAGGGTTTCAGGCTGATGGCCTTGCCCTTACCCTCAGAGACTATTAAAGAATTATCAAACAGCACACATACAGTGGCAAGTGAAATCAAAGATAACGTGGAGGCTTCAAACCAGGAGGACATGGGGCCACTAAGGAAAGGCAGGAGGAAAATGCTGAGCTCAAGAAAAATTCAGCAGGGTGAGTAAGGATGACCCAGAGGCCCCAAGAAGTAGGTGATGCCTGGGTGAGGCATTAATTAATGGGTTTATAAATCTCTAAAGCTACTGCATATTTCTCATCATGTGCAACTCTGCACATATGCAGAATCAAGAATTTAGTGTTTTTCTTCTGTAGGCAGAAACATGAGTTCATTCATTAAATAAATATTTACTAGGCACCTGCTCTGTGCCATGCTTTGTTCTAGGCAGTGTTAAAGTAGTGAAAAAGCTACACTCATGGAGACTACGGAGACAATAATACTAAAATTTATTTGTTCACTTATTTATGTGCTATGAACAATATTAAGTTAGCAGATGCCAATGTGGGCAGACGAATTAGGTCAATTGAAGGAAAGAGGAAACTAAGATGGAAAGAACTTTAATATTAACTCTTTCTTCTGGGATTTCTGATGAACCAATCAAGGAATATTTATTGCATAATGAGCTAGAATATTTGTTTGGCTAAAAGGAGATTTTAAGGTATGCCATGCATATATTTCAAAAACATATCCAGTTTGGATAGCAAACTTTATAAAAATTACACAGAAACTCATGCCTATAAAGACACCAGTTTATTTATTACTGATAACACTTCATTTGGCTAAAACCACAAGAAATCCACACACAAATACTTAAAGTGCAAATTCTTACAGGCAGTACACTTATGATACACCCTGGTGTTCTCATGGGGAAAAAATGGGAAGATGTTGACAGAAACTGCTAAAACAAGGGCACATTTTTGAACTACTGCTACACAGTCAGAAAAAGAATTCATTCTTAACCGCATATATTTTATCTGGCATATTCAATGACGTATACAAAGAATTTATTTTAGCCTATAATAAGAAAGCCTCACCATATATATAAATGCAGACCTTTGCTTGAGTGGCTCTTTTAAAATAATATGCTGAATTATAACAAAGGACAAAAATATACCAAATTATATCAAATCAGTTGTGACTCACTTGGAAGGTAGCACTAGTAGGCTCAAAATGGTACTTTTACTAGTGATATTAAATCTACACAAACATTTCTCTAGCCTTTTTGGCCAACCCCTTGCTTTGAGTGTAAAATACGAGGCATTACACACAATTTCCGAATGGGAATATGCTCTGCTTTCTCCAAAGAAACTGAATATTTAAGGGCGTATGTGCTTAATAAACATTATTTATTATAAATTTCAGTAATGAGAATTGTTTTAAAAGCTGAATTTAAAAATTAATATTTTTGATTGTTTCTAAAACTATTTGCTTCTTTAAAATAAAATCTCTTCATTACTATTATCAGTAATTAAGCACTCTATATAACAGGTACTATACTAGGTGGTATGAATATGAAAAATAATAAATCATGATCCCTGCTCTCAGGGAACTGAGAGCTGGGTGCTCCTTCTTAGTCAAGGAATGCCAACAAATTAAAGAGAACAAACAGGCCAACACCTCTGGCTATATTATATAAAGTTTGGTGGTAACATAACTGTTTCAGGTCAGTTTAACTTGACATTAATACTTTCAAAGTTCAACTTTTAAAGAGCAAGGAATACCCTAGATATGTTTTATGTTTATATTTCTCACGTGAGAATCAGTGTGTGAACCCTCAGGAATATGCAGCACTTGAAGAGGAGAGGTTGGGGGAGAAAACTAAGAGGCCATGTGATAAACACCAGTTATCACGCAGCAGCACCAGTTATGGTGAAGATTGAAGGAATCATTTTGTATTACGACAGTTTTATTATGGAGAATGCAAAATTCGCTTACATCCTTAAGATAGAACACAAAATTTCACAAGTGGTAAAATTTCTGAGGCTGCTTCTGATTTTGCTCTCAGGCCCCTTCCCCTATACATTCGTGCTCCTGTGCTTTAGGGTCATGCTGGTGGAAAAGTTTGAGAAGCAAACTTTAGCTATGTCGCTTTGCTCTTATCTTCATCGTATGTTCTCTTTATAAAGTACATAGTCTTTAATTAATAAAGAGAATAGATGCCATAATGAATATAATAGTGTGAGGAATATTCTAAAGTAATCAATGGTCAACGCTAACTTTATTTCCAGCTGTGTAGAGTCAGATGAGAAATTCTCTTCTTCCCACTTAGAATCCTTATGGCTATGATAAGATACTTAGAGGGACAAATATGAAAAAATATTTCTTCTAATTTTGTGCTTTGGATGCCCAAAGTACAAGGAAACAGAAAATAAAATGCTAGATCAATTGACATTCATTTTGGTTAGTATGACTCTTTCCTCATCAGTTTCCAGAGCCATCTCAGAAGACAAGTGAATTGTAAAAGGCCATAATAAATTAACATATAGTATCCAGACAGATAAAAAAAAGTTATGAAATAGATTTTAAATTACTTCTTACAATGTCTTAAATATTCTCGCAATAAGAAAATAACCAAAAGTCTATAAACCAACTTAGTTTATGAATAAGTTTAAAGCATTCTGAAAGATACAGTTAAGATTTCTTGTCAGTGAGGTAATAGGGCAATAGCATTTCACAGTAACAAAATGTGGAAGGGCATATAGGGAGAGGGAGGTAGAGAGAAAAAGGCATACAATTAAATTTATCCAAGCAGAATCTAGATTTTTCAAGCATCATAAACAACAATGGAAAAGATCTGAAAGAAATACCGATAGCAGCAGTTCATAGAACAATTTCTCCATTAAACTCCAGCTAATATCTTTGTTGCGTCAATTCCAGAAGCAATCTGCTTAAGAAATAGTTCTATTTCCTATATAAAGATATTCCACAGTCTCCAATCTTAGAACCTCTCTGTCTGCTGAAGTTACTACATCCAAGTAACAATACTTTAAAACAAATCCCTCAAATATCCTATAAAGCTATACATTCTTCAAAATGAACAAAATTTTGTTCAAGTCTCAATTTGCCAGGTTAAATTAAAAATAACATCTAAGCAGGTCTTTATTCACTGCACTCATACTTATCTATCACTCAACATATACAAAAACTGTCTTGTGAACTAAATTCTTCTAAATATGGAGTGAAATTCGAATGTTACTTTCAGTGCTCTTTATGACATCTTTGTTCCAACCTGAGTTGTTTTTTTTTTAAGTTTGGAAGGAACTCGTAAAAGCCATATAGTATATCCCTTAATATTTAAAATTTTTATTCTCTTAAAAATAAAATTCAAATAGAAGGCTTCTAATGATTGCTGCCCAAGTTCTTAAATAATAAACTTTTCATGTTGCTTTTTTTTTTTTTTTAAAGATCCTTAGTCCTTCTTATTTTGTCCTCACTGGACATGGTGAACAGGTTTTCATATTACTTCTTACTTTAAGTCCTTCAATAAAAAACTCAACAACTTAAAACTTATTAAACTATCTCAACAGCTTTCTCCTCCCCAGTGTTAAATGATCTTAATTCTTTGAACTTTTTCTCAGAGGTTCATTTCCCAATCTATATTTTATTCCTTTTTATTTCTGCTATATCCCCTCCCCAGTTCCCATCTCAACATCCTTGCAGGAACTGAATCAGTAAGAGGGATACTTGCTCTCATCTCTTAAAACTTGGTCTCTGTAGTGGTCACTAATAAAGGAAAACAAAAGGTTCACTATTTGCTCAACATCACAACAAATAAACACAAATAAACAACTTGCCCACAGTCAGTTTTTTCCCTATATTTAAGGTGATAAGTTTGTTCTTCGCAAGAAGCACTTTCTGTGCCACCTTAGCAACCTTTCTATTGTTTATCATTACTGTTTATTTGCAACCTATGCTTTGATCTTGCCCCACTAATTCTTTTCTTTTCCCCAAAGCCCTAGAAAAATCCCAGTTTTGAGATACACACTCAGTGAGAATGCATTAATCTCCGTGATATTGTTCGTAAAGAAAAAGATAAACAATGCAGAGCCCAAGGCTGAGACCTACTGGCCAGCACTCCTGTCTCTCTTGGTTCACTTGAATTTACTCTTAGGCAAGTATACACCCACTATGTCAGTTCATGTTAAATATCATGCTCAGATAGACTTGAGAGCTTAGCTAGAATCAAATAATTACCTCAATTTATATCTTTCGGGAACATTTGTAAAATTTTGTTAATTTCAACTTTGGATTTTAAAATTTTTGAGATAAGAATCTAAGCTTTAATAACTTTTCCCCTTTATTAAGATGACTTAAATGTTGCATTATATTAAAGCATTCAAACAAAACTGTTCTCTATGTAATAGAATGACAATCAGTGTAGCTTTAGTAATTATGAATGGGCTATTCTATCATTTTAGTTCCACTCTATTCTGCAGTCACTGAAACACAGACACTAAAACCAAATATACATATTTTCTATATATACAGCATTGTTCATAACACTTTTTAGAATATAGGTCATTTCCTAAATTACAGTCTACATTCCTAAAAGCAAATAAAACAAAAATTCTATACATAACTTCTTGAGTGCAAAGCCTTTGGAAAAAAACTCATTCAGAAATATGGTGCTCTACGTTTAGCCAGCTGTCTATTATCTATGGTCATAAAACATCCAGCTACAAGAAAGTAAGGAAAGAACAAGTTAACAATAGTGGCAATACAATAATTTGAAAATTATATTTGGATTATATGGGTTCAACCAAATGTTAGCTGATAGCTCCAACAAACCAAACCATGATTTAAAAAATATCCTAATCAGTTCGAATTTTATAGTATTATTATTATTATTGTTATTATTATATTTTTTAGGAAATTCTCTAATACCCATTATCTCCCATAGGCAATTTGTTTAGTATGATCATACCCTGGCCTTGTTATTGTTATCTTGCAGCTATACCACATGTGTTCAAGTTTTCTGTGAGCTCTGTATGATAGGATACACTTCAAGAAGATTAAACAGAGCTTCTCATTTTTTTTTTTTGGAAGACTGCAGAATCAACCAAAGTGACCTTCTAATATTTTTTTCCATATTACAAAAGATAAATAGTACTCTTGTGATCAGAAATTCTACAGAAGCCAACAAGATGTTAGGATAAACTGGGCTTTAGTATTAAAACATTTAATTTTAGTGTTTCATAACACCTAATACTGAATGTTTTATTTCTTAGTAAAATTGGTATTACTTTACCCGATAAAGGAATAAGTTTACTTACAAAAATGTAATTCAAATGTCAGATTTTTAAACAAATTCAGAGCTCTTATGTCAGTTTAGATTTTTTTCTTTATTTAAAGGCTATGATAATTGACACTTAATTCTAACATAAAGATCCTTAACTACAGTTACACTGAGCCTACTTTTATGAAGGTTTTTATTTACATTCGTAAGGTTTTAAAGTCAGCAAATCTATTTCATATGGAGGAGAAGCACCTATGTAGTTTGGAAGATTTTCCTTAACTGTCTGAAATTAACTGATTAAATTATATTTGATGCAGAAATGCTATTTCATTCACACCATACCCTGAGAAGGCACTGAGAAATTCGACAATAACAAAGCCACTAGGAGTGTTGCCACTATTGTTTTATGTTCAGTAAATGTGGGGATTTTAAATACATACAATAAACTTACACTGCACCAAGAGCACCTGAAACAGAGGAACTGAAAATCACATATTGTACATTTGTTCTAAGCTGGAAATGCTAAATACCCTATTTCAAATACTCTAATTTGTAAGTTAATACCTATGATGAAACAATGACACTTTTCCACAATATTCTGAGAGCAGTGCCATTTTCTTGTCAATTTCATACATTAACTTCCTTAACGCTACAATTATATAGCATTTATCTGCCTTTTTTTTTAAACCATGCTATACACAATTACAAGAATATTGAACTAAGCTTATTCACACTTTAATAAGAAAACTCGGTTTTGTATTGTTCTGTTTCTGTTAAAGGAAGAACTACATGTTACTATAATACTTTTAATGTAATGACTTTTGTTCAAAACCATGAAAAAATTTGAATCATTTCTCTCCAGACCTTTTCATTTCAAATCTATACAGTTTGTTTACTCAGCCAACTAAAAAAGAAAGAAGATAAAAGGAAAAAGATACTCGGACAGATGATAGAGAATGCTAACACAAATTCAATGCACGGAGTTCTTGGATGTCCTGTTCCATTCGCCAGCACAAGGTAATGAGGTACTGGTGTCCACTAAACAGAACGCCAGATCAATCCATTTTTACTGGGCTCAAGAAAATTTTCAATCAGAGCTTCAATGAGTTTCTTCAATTCCTCTTCTAGTAAGGTAGTGTCACTAAGGAAAAAGATCAAGAGTTTTGAAATTCTTGATTTTCATAGCCTTAAAATTTCTTTAATTGTTATAACTGTTTAAGAAGGCATAAACCTGATGGGATAATTAAATAATTGGCAAACGAAAGAGAAATTCACTCAGTTAAAACAAAACAAGACCAAAGTGTGGGGTATCACACACAAAGAAAACATCAATATTACTAATTGAAGTTGAGCTGCATTAAGAGGAGAGCCTTGGTTCATGGTACATGGATGAGTTATATATAGTATAGATAAAGATTTCTCCTGGGACAGGTGACTTAATGGCTTAGGACAGAGATACCAGATGTTAAGAGAGAATGGCTTCCCAAAATACTTTTGAAGAAAATGGCCTGTACAGATATTATGGGATGATACAGCCTATCTTTCAGGTAGCAGAGGGGAGTGTGACTAAAAGAATGAGATGTTTAAAAAAATAAATGTGCACTTACAAGTATGCCCTTCAAAGCCATCCCTTGTAAAGCTGCTACTGCCCAAAACATTTCTAGGAAAGCCTCTTTTAAACTGCCTTCACAGTCATTTTACATACTACCCAACAAATTAGTTTTTATTACTTTAATAATCATCTTAAACCAAATATATTTTTAACCAAATATAGCATTACCCAATTTGGTTTACTTTAGACACTGCTTTTTTTACTCCCTAAAGGAAATAAAATCTACTCTTAAATGCAAAGATTTAGGGACATAAAAAATAATATACATTAGGCTCTGAAGGCAGTTCCAGAAAATCTCCTTCCTAAAAATATATTGATCAATGACAACGTTATAGGAGGCACTACTTTCAATAAGTTTAAATAGCCTTTAAATAAGTTAATTTAGTCACAGTTCATACTCTTAGAAGGAAATAAATTTGGCAGATTAAGTCAAATCACATTAGATATAGAAAATGAATATTTGGTAATAAACAAATTATTTGTTGATCATTTCTTTATGTTCATCACATAATAGTTAAAGCTTAGAGAGTTTTCCCAGGAATATAAATTCACTAACATTTTAAAATTAAATTCTCGAATGATATATAGCTGCTTTGGAAAATAGTCTGGCAGTTCCTCAAAAGGTTAAACATAGAACTACCATGTAACCCAGCAATTCTACCCCTAGATATATCCCCAAGTGAAATGAAAACATAGGTCCACACAAAAACTTGTTCACAAATGTTTGTAGCACCACTATGCAAATAGCCAAAATGTCCATCACCTGATAAATGGATTTAAAAATGTGGAATATCCATACAATAGAATATTATTGAGCCATGAAAACAAAAATTTTTTAAAAAAGAATTAAGTATTGATTCATGCTACAACATGGATTAACCTTGAAAACATTATGCTAAGTAAAAGATGCCAGTCACAAAGGACCACATAGCATACGATTCCATTTATATGACATGTTCAGAATAAGCAGCAAATCAATAACGACTGATAGTAGATTGGTGGTTGCCTAGGACTGGGAGGGAAGGGAATGGGAAGTGACTGCTATTGGGTCTGGGGTTTCCTTTAGAGGTGATGAAAATGTTCTAAAATTTATTGTAGTGATTGCGCAACTCTGAATACACTAAAAACCATTGAACTGTACATTTTAAATGGGTGAATTATATGGGATGAGAGTTATATGTCAATAAGGCACGCACACGCATGTGATTGTGTGTGTATAAAGTCAGTGCTTACCTTTGGTCAGGTGATGCACACATCTCTGCATAATATTTTATCTTTGGTTCTGTCCCGCTTGTCCGAAGAGTAGCAACACAGCCATTTTGAAACGTAAATGTAATCATTTGGCTGTTTTTACTCACAGGCAGCACCTATGCACAATTGTAACAACAGCTTAATGACATTTGGTAACTTTTTCATTTCCGAGAGTTGTAAAACACATTCCCCTTAAATGAGGTATCTAAAATACTCAAATTCATAGAAACAGAAAGTAGAAGTGTGGTTGCCAAGGGCTGGGAGAAGGGACAAATGGGGAGTTGTCTCATGGGTACAGAGTTTCAGTTTAGTGAGATGAAAAAGTTGTGGAGATCTGCTGCACAACAACGTGAATAGAGTTAATGCCACTGAACTGTATGCTTAAAAATGGTTACGCTGATAAATTTCATGGGTTTTTTTTTACAATTAAAAATTTAAAAAATATTTTTAAAAGAATTATAAAATACAAAAGATTACATACATAATTTATAAATATACCATTTACTAAATATTTATGATAGTGCAGGCATTGGGTTATATATCTTACACACATGATCTCTAGACCTCAACAATAATCCTGGCAAAGTAAGAATTACTGCCAATTTATAGACAAGGCTCAGAGTAAACGACCTGCTCAAAGTCACTTGCTAAGTAGCAGAGCAAGAAGTCGAAGTCAAGTCTATCTGTATCAAAGTCCACCCTGCCTCTACATTTACAAAGCGCTTTACAGTGTCAAAGCACTTTCACAGTTTATCAATAGTCTCCAATAGAGTGCACGTATCCTAAAGCATAGGCAAAATAATCCACTGGGGCACAAAATTTTTTTTTTAATGTTTTTTACCTAAAAAAGAAAAAAAGAAAAAGAATGAAGCTTTACTGACATTAAATGTATGGATTAGCACTGGTGCTTCCTAGACCATAGATTAGTCTCTGAAGGCGTCTTGAGGGAACTGTGGGGGTTGTGCTAGGACAAAGAGGTTGATAGCGGTGCCTTCCCTCAGGTGTCCCTAACCTGGTCCTCTCCTTGAGACCCCTCACTCAGTCAGTGGCACTACCACACATTAGCTGCTTAAGACAGAGATCCTTCTCCCTTCTTCTTCACTCACAGACCATCGAATAGCAAGTCCTATCTATTCTGTCCTTTATTTAACTCAACTATGTCAATTCTCTCCATCACTAATACTACTACATTAAGTTCAGGCTACCATCATCTCTCATTTGGATTATTGAACAGCGTACTAACTGATCTTTCTGCCTGGTAATTGGGCTATCTCTAACCCATTCTCCATACATGCCATTCTTCCTCACACTCCATACTACAGTTGTAGAGAACTACTTGTGGTTCTTTGAAAGAAACCATGCCGTCTCATCTCCAGACCTAGCACTTGCTACTCCCTTTGCCTGAAACACCTAGCTCCTCCTACAGCTGGATAACTCCTACTCATACTCTAGAACTCAGCTCACATAAGTCCTCTAGAAAGTCTTCCATAAGCTTCCCAAATCTGAGTAAGGGTCCTTCCTATGCTCTTCCATGGCCCTCTAGGCACCCTGTGATAGCACTTATAATTTTTTAGAAAGTAAGCACTGTTTACTTGTCCATTTCCCCACTGAATTCTTGAGTGCAGAAACAGTGTCTCTGTCATTGCTACATTCCCATTGTATCTGTGCCTGTAGCACAGAAGAGTTTTGATAAATGCCAGTTGAACACACAGATAAATGTCAATTTGAAGTGTGAAGAAGAAAGAACTCGGGAAGTCTTTGATGCATACCATGTGACCTTAGAGGATTAAATATATCTATACCATCTGCCTTACAAAACTATTATAATCATCAGTGGGGAACAGATAGAAAAGCACTTTGAAAAACAAATATCATAAACTTTAAAGAAAGTTGAGAGGAAAAAATAACACCAAGAACTACTCTAAGCACAGAAACATTAGAAAAATAAAAAGCCAGATAATAGGTTCTTCTCATCAGCAGTTTACAAAGACAGAAAAATAGATACACACATAGGTGCACATACACTGAATACCAATAACTGGGAACTAATCTTTTATTGACTGGATGAATATACACAAAGGGAATGTGGGTAGTATTCTACACAAGAGACTTCGGATTTCCCAAAATATATTATATCCCTAGAATCTTGAGATAACATCAGAACATTATAAATGAAAATTTAAGCTAATCATAATAACTAAATATGATCAGCAATCTGCGGCATTTAAATATTTGTTGAGCACCTACTACATAGGCAGGAGCTTTGAGAGGCATAAGGGTATATTCACAAATGGATCTGCCATGTACAACACAATGATAACAAGACTGAAAATGATGAATGACAAGAGGTAGGCACAATATATAATGAAACCTCAGGAAGGTGATATCTGATTACGGGACCTGGGGGATATGTAGAGGAGATGACATTTGCCTTACGTCTTTAATAATGGCTAATGTGTGGACCTGCAACTGTAGAAATAAAGGTAGACTGAGGAAAATATCTTGAGCAAAAATAGAGATAATTTTTAAAAATGCATATAAGATGTATATAAGAAACTAAAGTTGTTCTATTTGGCTAGAGGTATAATGAATAAAGGTGAAAAAGAAAGATTACAACTAGTGTAGCTTTGAAATTATAGACTTTTAGACTTTATTTTCAACATTATTTGTTCAGCATCATCACACATTCTCCTTCTCTTTCTGTCTGTGTCTCTCATTCTCTTTCTCACCGTGCCCCACCCCCACCCCCAACCCCCAGGGTAGCACACACTTGAGGAGTAATAGAGGGCAGGATCAAAGTCAGAGAGCCAGTTAGTGGACAATTGCTCTGGAAAAAAACAAAGGATCCTAGTTTCAAGAAACTCACAGCCTTGAACTTCTACTATTTTACTACAGTATGAATTATTACAGACTGTTAAAAACTTTTTAAAAAAAATTGGTACTTACTGATTTTTTATTAGGCTGGCTGCTGTCATATCCAGTAGTAACGTCTCGTATATGCAATATAGCAAATGCCCCACAAAATTTTGGATATTCTTTTGGGGAATCAAAATTACGAAGCCTTTCAAATATACTTTTGATGGTAGTTGGATCATAACACAAGAAATATGAAGTTTTGGAAATATGATAACCGTATCTGCACAAAGATTTAAAGTGTTAAAATCAGATATCAGATAGCTCTCTAGAAAAGTATAAAGATAAGCGGATTGTAGTATTATGTAGAAAGTAGCAGTCCTTAATTTAGACAATCTTAGTACTTTAAAAAAAAAATGGACTATTCCTTGAAAACAAATTTAGAAAGCTTAAAGTAGGACAAAAAAATTTAACATAGGACTTACTTTTCATAAATCTTAATCAGTTGCTGTTTCAATGTTATATTCATGGTTTCTAGGTAAGATGCCATCTCAGCGACAACAACAGCTGCACTCACCCCATCTTTATCCAAAACTGAAGTTCCACACAGAAAACCTGAGAATTAAAAAACATCTTTAAAATTAGGAAAACTTAAGCCTATAATAATTTCAATAGTTTTACAGTCTAATAATAAATGAAACCCATTGATACTGAAGGTTTTTAGGGGTTCTTTAAGGATCTTTTTTTTTTTCTGATGAGAAATGCATCTACACATTTCTGAGTTCTCTGTGGTTTTTACCACAACTCGAAATGCAAAATCAGCAGACAATAATTCCTCTCTATAGAATTTTACATTTAAAAATAATCTCATTCAAATTTCAAAGATTTTAATTTTCACTACATACCAATAGACTCTTCAAATGCAAAAAGGACTTCTTTCCCATTTTCCAGGAGGTCTTTTATCCTACTTCCAATCCATTTAAAACCTGGTAATGTTTCCTGAAATGCAGAGGAGGCCACTCTGGTTAAGTGACTCTCTCATAAATACGTATTAGAGAAAAGTCTATCACTAAATGCACTAAATGTATTACCTAACACTCTCATAGTGATCTGTTAACAGTTTTTGATCCACAAAGATTCAGAGTGGTAAACAAATAGTCATAAAGTGCATAAAGATATATACATTGCCATGACTGATAACCTACTATTTATCAAATAGAATAATCGATGATTTACACCAAATATAATCAATATTTATAAGTGGTGATGCATATAGTCACACACATACATATATTATGATCATCTACTATTTATCAAACACTGTAACAACTGCCTTCCATCATCTTTTCTTAATGCTCACAAAAACTTCGTTGCTGAAACAGGCTCAGC